ACATTACATCTTCCATTTGGTGATTTAATTCATGATTTAATTGAAGAGTTTTTTTACCCAATGAACTGGAATAAAAATCGATAAGTTTAAGTATATCTTCTAATGTATAATGTTTCGTATAAATATCTGTCAAATCAGATAAATATGATTCCAATGAAAAATATTCATCGTAAAGAGCTTTCATTTTCTTATCTTCTGGTGGATATATTTTGACATATGATAAAAATCGTGTGTATTCATTTTCCACACCTATTAGACTTAATAAATATTTTACATAATCCTTTATATTGGCCGATGATGGACCAGTTGGTTTTCCTTCGATGATGCCATTAGCACAGAATAAAGCAGTAATAAAGATGGTTAAGCAAATAAAATGCATAGCGAAACTAAAATATAAAAAAAAAAGAAAAATTCTTATTAGTATATTATATGATATATGTTGTAAGTGTAGCATATGAACTTGAGATAACATATCAATTTATACTATATATACTCTATATGATCTACTAATGGAATAATAATTTATAATAAAAATTCAACAACCTTTATATTGTTTTGAGTTCTTCTCTTTTAGTATTTTTTCTTTTTTTTTTCTTCTTTTCTTTCAAAATAATATACTAATGTAGTTAGCGCTATTCAGTAGTCTCTTTTACATGGATTGTTCTGTGTTTTTTTTCTCTGATTATTACTGATATGAATCTTTTTAAGCGAATTCATACAAAAAAATGAGTAAAACGCCTACACTTATATACATGGGATATTTTCCGTTCAAAATTATATTCCACTGTATATATTCTATAATGTCATTAGTGCCGGAGTTCCATATTAATGAATGAATCATATAAACATTTCCAAATAAAAAGATTATTTATACTAGCAAAAAAAAAAGTTTTATCTGGCTTCAATACTATTATTAATGTACCATGCTTGGAATCAGTATTCAGCAATATATCAAAAAGCTATGTTTTCCTTTATGAAAAGTTCATATAGTAACGCTTAATAATGGTAAACAGAGTTTTTAGCGTGTTGTTTAATACTAGTTTGGAGTATTGTACGTCTTTTACATAAACACTGACTCTCTATAATTAAAACTTTAATATACTATTCATATCCCGTTGAGTTCCGTACAAATGATTCTAATTATTTTTCTTATTTAAAATAAAGTATCCGAGGTATACTATCTTGTATTTATATCAATATATCAACAAACAATATAGTAATAAAATAGAAAAAACTAAGCAGGAGAATAGAAGCCCCAAGTGCTTTTTCTTCTTTAGAAGCTGGATGAAATTTTTCTAAATAAAGATACAGGAAATAAATACATGTAAACAGTATTTAATATCATTCAACTGTCTTTAATTACGTCTCTTGTTGAAACTCCATTAGTTTCTATTTCGATGTTAATCGTTAGAAATATAACTGCAATCATAGAAGCATGATTGAGGAAGTGGAGGCTTCTTCACATATCTTTTCAGTAGATGGTTATTTGTTAGTGTATAATCAAGATTTACTTCTTTTTTATTTTATCTTTATAAAAGTATAGATAATATTTTTTTAAGTAATGGCTTTATTTTTCTGTGTCATATTTAAAGATTTTTTATTTTTAACATTATCAATCTGTATTTTGGTCGATTAAAACTGTGTAAAGAAGTACAAAACAAAGTTTCTATATAATTACTTCGGCTTTAAAAATACCCAATCAATCTTTCTTGAGTTTTTTTGAACTGCGGCACTTTTCATACCAGAAAAACAATGAACACTCTAATCACATGTTTTTTAATATTCTGCAAGCTAATGTGATCTTTGTATGATCATACTTTAACTTTATAAATATTCATTTGCTCTCGGTTTGATCTAATAACATTTGAATGTCATACACTAGAAAATAGACGACAGAAAGAAATTGATATGTTATTTTGATACTTTTGTTGATTTAAGATTCATAAGTTAAATTAAATTTATACAGAAAGTAATGTAATGTTCAATCTATATTACATTGTTTTCTTGGATGCTACAGATTAACATTAAAAATATGTACTACTTATATGTTTAAAAGTCTTATAATAAACGCCATGTATACAAGTTTATTTATCGCCTTGTCTATGAAATAAAAAAGACTGGCGACTTCTAAACTATGATTTTTGATAGGAAAAAAGAATTGTATACCATTTAATAGATGATTTGGGTCAAGTAGTCGATAAAACATCTCATCATTTTTGAGTTCGACTTTTAATTCAAACATGCCTAGACATATTATATCTCTTTAAGAATGCTTTTGTTATTAACAAAAAGATCTATTGTAATCTGAGAGGTAATGTTAATTATAAATTCAATGTAGTTCATCTTCATTCTAGAAATAGAGTAATTATTTGATAATAATCTAGCTGATCTTATCTTTCATACCATTTTACCTACGTAAAGATCAATGACAGATCTCGAATTTTTATAATGGGGGCGATTTCAATAAAAGGTCGCATTGTCTCCTTCATTCAACATATCATTTACTGATTTTCGGACCATTTTTAACTACTCCTATTTCTTAGTGACACATAAAAGCGTTTTACGATAAATTGTAGAAGTAATTTAAATAAATCATTTTGATTCTCAAGGATTTTATTGTATGAGCAGTCATTTAATATTAAGCCATTTGATAAGATTTGTCTAAAAAATTCATCTAATATTTAACTAGATAATGAATCGATAGAATCATATGATAAATATTTCAACAAGGTTAAAGTATTATAAAACTTAAATCGTATACAATCTTATTTAAGTTTCTGTTGACATTGCGTAAAATGTACAGTATATCGACACTAGTCAGTTTTTTTTAAAAATAATCATAAAAATTCATCAGATAAATGATTTAATTAAATGCAGGAATATTGTACGTTTATTTTCACCCTCCTACCTGAATTTTTTAGCTCAGAACTGTTGATCATTGTATATTTATAGTTGGTTGTTCTAGATGACTGATACTATCAACCGATGTAAATATATAATAAATAAATGACAGAAGGTCTTTTCTTGAATAACATTCAATCAAACTCAATAGTTATTCTATCTCACAATATCTTCTATCTGGAATTTAACTCCAAAATGGACTTTTGTTTTGTAGGACTGAATCATTCTCAAAATGAATTCTCCATAAATACTCTAATACATAAAATAACTCTACGAACTGCAATAGATACACCATTGCTAAATCTAGAGATTAAATAGCAAAAAACAATCAATCATAAAGAAAAAAGTAATTATATAATAGATGAGTACAAGAAATACAGTATAAGTCGGAGAAAAAAATTTTTCTAGCTATATACAATATAATAGAACAGAGAACATATAAAGGAAGTGAAAAAAAAGATAAAAGCTTATTTTTATGATGTCATTTTCACCAAATTGTAAAAAATCATGATGACGTGCTTAATCAACCATTGTAATAGGTGACTCAATGTATACCTGTAATTTCACAATCGATCGTCATTTACTGCACACATTGAAACGGTATATATATATAAGAAAGGCCTAAAAACGATGTTCGAATACTTATTCTTTTTCTATTGAAAGATACAGATTATCATTATTGATTTTAGACTTTCTATCATAGATAATTATCAATGTCTACTACCACAGCAGACGAAATAGTTGCTCCAATCAGTAAGAATGAAATGTATTTGGATTATGTGAAACAAGCTACAGTTGGAGTTCTAATGGGTGCTTTACGAGTTGTAGCTTCACAACAAAAACTTACACCAAATGAATCATTGGCTGTATTTTTTCATCCATCAAATAGAGACTCATTGAATTTAATGAATGATCTGTTACGAAATTATATTCAAACATGTTGTAATGAATTTTGTTGGGTCTATGACGATGTTTACATTAACACGACAATTCCTTTAAAAGAATCTCTAGATTTAAATGGTAGTCATTATGTTTTCAGTCATTTTAATAAAATATTTCAAAATAGTCGTTCAAATCTTATTCCTGGTCCAAAACATCTGAATTGTTTGGCTATGCGCACAGCAATTAATTATATGCCATTACTTTTTTCAACAATTTTATCTCAATATGAAGAACAACATATGGGAGGAACAAGAAGTAGTCATGATGGAAATTGGAGTGAAGCTGAAAAAAATATAGTTCGTTGGATATTAAAAGAACTTGTTCAAAAATCAATCGATTGGTTAAATACAAATAAACAAGAAGAATTAAAGAAAATACCGTTTGTTTGTCAAGAAGATGATAATTGTAATGAAAATTGGGATTTATTTAACTTTTCTCAAGATAAACAAGTAATTGCTGTTGCAAATATAAAAAAACTCTGGAGTGAACTTGAACAAACTGAACAATAACGAACTCGAATTCATGTAGTTTCATGTTTTTTTTTATTATTTATTATTAAAAAATAAAGATGGTAGCATCATCAAAGATTTCAAGTTTTCAATGCACATTGCATTTACTCCAAAAATACATAAAGAAAATAAATGACAATTGCTTTGAATCGTTGCTTCAAAACATTTTTTCAGATGTATCGATAGTAAGATGTTGCAATTGATGACAAAGATCCATAAATCCTTTAATTTTTTTGATACTAAACGAAATACAATCTACCGTATGAATATTAGGCATCAAAGCTAACGATGTGATAAAATAATTAGAATAATATTTTATAGGAGTGGCGAATTTAGTCAATTGTGTTGAAGGGAGAATAGGGTGTGTTTGTGTGCGACTAGTATAACTACTCTGAACTCAGACCCACACCTTCAAGATGGTAAGTGTATCTTCTCATGAGAAAGAAGAAGAGAATATCCCCCTTATTTTATGGCACAGGTCCTTTTCTTATCATATTAAAAATCGTTGGCATTTTGCAACCGAAACACTTTGTAATGAGATACTATACATCAATATAACTCACGTGGAATAAAGGAGAAGGAAAAATTCGTATAAATATAACCACATAAAATACAATAAAATCAAACATTCTTCTCATACTGTGTACAATGAAGACGAATGCATTGTATATATTCGGCATATTACTCTTGAATCTGATCAATTCACGCAATACCTTAGCAAAGCCAGTGCAAAACTCTAGATCGAAACGATTCACAACATCTGTGGTCAAATCAGAACGAGATGCTTATGGATACCTCGCCAAATATGGCTACAATCCATGTGAAAATGAATCTAAACCAAACGGAACCAATAGTGAAACATTTTGTCGACAAGTCGCTTTAAAGACAATGCTGAAAGATTTTCAAGCTCAAAACGGACTACCCAAAACTGGAACACTTAGCGCGAGCGTAAAAAAATTGATGAATACTCCTCGATGTGGTGTGAGAGACATGCCACGTGCCTTTAAAACTGCAAAGTCATGGTAAATATTTATCAAATTTGAGTGAGATACTATACTGTTTTGTATTTGAATTCATATTTCATTTTCTTTTTCTTTTTTGATTTCTAAATGCTGTAATTTTGTTTAGGACAAAGACTTGTTTTACGTGGAATTTAAGAAATGGAACTCTTCCATCGCTTGGACTAACCAAAATTCGTCAACAAATTCGGCAATCATTCCAGGACTGGGCTACGCATTCACTGTTGACATTCAAAGAAGTATCAGAAAATGAGAAAGCTGACTTGTATTTGGCATTTACGAACCAAAATAATGATAGTAATTTTGACGGACCAGGCAAAACTTTGGCTTACGCTTCTTTTTTAACCGTAGGAGAGATCCGATTTGATGCTACGGAACCGTGGACAGAAAAGTAATCATTGATCTACGACTGATATAGAAAACATCTTGTCTATTCAGATATGATGATGATGACATCAATCTTCGTCTTGTAGCTACCCATCAAATAGGACATGTTCTTGGATTAGGTCATTCTTATGGTCTATTATCAATAATGAATCCATATTATCTACCCATGCGATCGGAAGACATGCTTCCAGAAGATGTAAGAGACGTTATTTTTTCTTTTAATGAATGACTTGTCAGTGATTGCTGGAAAATTCTATTCTACCGTGCTTTTCTAGGATCGTCATGATATTCAAGCACTGTACGGACCTAGGTTTCCACCGAGTAGTGGTGAGTAGAACTGTCTGATCAGCTAGACATACAAACGCACGAAATTTTAACAATAGAGTATCACAAAGATAGCACAGTTTTGCATCTTTAAGACACATGATACTTTTCTGCGAAATAGAGGTATCTACAGTGAGGCTGATTAGGTTTTTTATGGTTTCCAAAAGTAGCTCCTATGTCAACGAAGTGAAGGGTTCAGAGAATGTTCAGGAAATCATTATTCTTAATCTACCAAAAACTATTATCCTTCGATCATTTACGTTTATAAGCTTTTTCATAACAAAAATCTCGGCAAAACCATTCACGAATTGTAAAAATAGATAAAATAAAATCTATTCCACTTAACAGTTTTTCTTCTTTCTGAAACACTCTTGTGTGAATTGCATATTTAAAACGTATCATGGTTTCTGTATTGCTATTTCAATTTTAATAACAGATCAAACCGTTATTATCTCGAAAGATGGTCAGTACGATGGGCAACTTAGACGCGGCAAAAAGCACGGATTTGGCACCTATACATGGTCCAATGGCGATAGATACATAGGTGATTGGGTTAATGGCAACATGCATGGTCGAGGTACAAAAACATGGAACGATGGCGAGAGATACATAGGTGATTGGGTTAATAGCATCAGAACTGGTCAAGGCACATACACGTGGTCAAATGGCAACAGGTACGAAGGAAATTATAAAGATGGTAAAAAGCACGGACATGGCACATACAAGTGGTTCAATGGCAACAAATACATAGGTGATTGGGTTAATGGCAATAAGCACGGTCGAGGCAAAATGCACTATTTCAATGGAACGATTAAGGAGGGAATATGGCGCAACAACTCGTTCACTAGTAACTGAACCATTAATGCTTTTCTGGTTATTTTCGAGAAGTGTATGAACTGTACACTTTTTTACGTGTCACTGAGAAGACTTATTGTATTGTCTCTATTTTTTATGTATGCTTTTTTTTCTTTACATTTCGCTTATTCCTCGCACTATTAATCTCACAGATTATAGTTAAGTCATTGCCAACACACATAATGCTTGGAGTTCAACGTCTGAACTTGTGGCTGAGTATAAACTTCAAAATGCTAATTTCAGCATCTTGAAATTCTCGAAACGATTACTCACGAGCTAAATTGAAATTTCTTGTAGTTGTTTTCAATGATTTACTCAAAAAGAAAGAATCATAAATGAATTATATTTCTCTATCTACCTGCTTGAGTGAAATATCTGTTGTCTTTGTGTATCAATCGAAAACAGACCAATCTGTCTCTTAAAGAAAAGACGAGTTCAATCTGCTAATCCCAACTTTTACTTTTCAGCAATCAGATTAAGCTCGAAAATAAATACTCTTTTTTAGATGTGCTTGTAGCTAATTATTGAAAATAATGCTGAGTTCCGTTTGCCGACGCGTTTCGTGTTATTTTATTTGAAACTACATCCGAGCACAAATAAAGGTTGTTTTCATGCTGTTGTATTTAGAATTGCATTCAAGCACGTATAAAGGTTGTTTCATGTTATTGTAATTGGAACGGCATTCAAGCACAAATAAAGGTTGTTTCATGTTATTTTTTTATTTGGAATTGCATTCAAGCACGAATAAAGATTATTTCATAGTTTCATTTGAAACGGCATTCAAGCGCAAAGAAAGGTTGTTTCATGTTCTTTTATTTTAGCGTGAGGGTATGAGACTGTGGGTGAGGATGTAGATTGCGATGAAAGGGTGTGAGTGTGGGTGTAGGTTGGGATGTGAGAGTGTGGTTGTAAATCAGTTGAAAACAGAACGGTGTATCTCTTGACGAAAAGACAAGTTTATTCGGCTAATCTCAACTCTTGCTACCCAGCAATCAACTTTTATTGCACACTAAACAAATTTCTTGAGAGTGGATGGATGTGGGCGTGAACGAGTAGGTGGGGGAGAAGAGACGACAGCTACACTCACACCCTTGAGTAGACCACCATATCTTTTAACAGTAATAAGTTTATTATTAGAAAAAAGATCAATACCTAATGGACAAGTACATATATAAATATGTTTATAAAAATACTTATTCATACGTAGAGAGGAAAAATAGAGAAGAAAGGTAAAATCAGGCAGAAAAAAAATTAAACATGAAAAAGCTGAAGAACGAAAGGAAACAGTTGAGATAGATAGAGGAATAAAGACATGATGACCACCACCACATAAAAAATTCTCTCTCATTCAATTTCTTTTTCTTGATTTTTATCAGATAATTTTCGTTTGAGTGATTGTTCATTTGTTCCATTCATTGCTATAGTACACATGTTCATACAACTGTTTAAATCTATACGATAAAATAAATTTGCTTGATCAGAAGAGAAATGGATTATATTTGTGATGAATTCATATTCGATATTTGGTAGTGCAATTTTAAAGAATGAAGCTAGATTAGAAAAAAAGAAAAATAATGAAGTGAAATTTGATGTAACTTACCAAGAGCTGAAGCATCAGATCGACTGAACTGACAATTTATCATTTTCATGTAGAAGACTAGAATTATGAATCACTTTAGGTAATGTATGGTAGAGTCTTATAAATGATGTCTATAGTAAGAAAAAAAATGATCGATATTAATGTAATGAAGAAAAGCTTCAATAATAATAAAAATTGTTCTTTAAAACACTCTTTATCGCAAACTTTTACTTCAATATATTCTGTTTTATCCGAAAACGAGCCAAATTTAAGATACATAAGGCTTGCTTCTATATCAATTGATTTTGATCAGAATAAGATAATGATCAATCACTCACCGAATGTTCCTTCTTGAGACGAAATTAGTGCATAAGTTTTTCCACAGATAAATAAATTTCTTGTGCATGTTCACGTGCAATGGTATGCGATGCAGCTTTCATAGACATATTGTAATATTTAATGATTTTCTTTGTTGATTCTTTCGTCTATTTTTGAACCATAGACGAGCAAATGTCGAATACTCTTTCGTAAATCAGCGTAGTTTTGCATTTGTTCCAAGTTGAAGTAGAAAATGACAATGGTAATTTAGACATAGTGTATGTCTACCCATTTATTCATGATCAACTATCGGACAACCAATGTTCGAAAGAAGGAAAGATACCTAGGTCGATCATTCAGACCATATGAAACAAAGTAATTTCTGCCGTAAGCTGCTAAAATCGAGTGTTGGTGTGGATGAATGCTCATAGTTATATCTAGAAGAAACAAATCAATGTATATATTTATATTAATTTACACCATTTTAACAATTTTGCTTAGTACAAACGAATCATTTATCTTTGTTACTCAATACTTTTAATTCTCGATTGTATCTATTGTCTGTATGTCGATAATTGTGGTTTGTTCGATTTTATTACCAAGAATAAAAATATTTTTTAAAAATGAGATATAGTAATAATTAACAGTTTTTCTTTATCACAATTATCAATGATGATCAAATGAGAATATTTTATTATGTTCAATAGATGATAATATTAAATAAGTTTTAATAGTTTTCTTCTAATATATATTAGTTAATAGGTTCTATATGAGAACAACATTGCTTTTCTTTCTCAGTTTAAAATACTTGAAGCTATACTGAATGTGAAGAGATAGCCGGATCTCTGTGATGACAGCTGACGAACGAAATTCGATTAGTTAAAGAGAGAAAACTAATCGATACAGTGACATCAATGATTTCAGGTAAGTTCATATGCATTTGAAGAGACTTCGACATAATTAATTTGTTCATAGTTTCTTTTCGATACTCAGTAGATGAATATCTCCATTTATTTTTTTCTAATTATATTTATTATTCTTTTGCGGAATTATGATTTTCAATATCGATTAACACGATAACACCGCTATGACATCTTTATTCTCACCATTCATAAGAAGTATTGATAATTCTATAGCAAGTTTTTTTATGACAACTTCTGTATCCACTGTTTGTTTGAAGTATGTTTCCTAAATGATAAAAGATAAATATCTCAAAAAATATGAATTTCTCATTAATGTATGCAACAAGAGGCATATTTTGCTCAAAATTCTTTTGAAAATTGAATAAACTTTTGTTTCATTTCAAATCTTTACTTATCAGAATAGGAAGAGAGAGGTGAAGAAACAAAGAAAAGCAAAATATGCAACCTCGTCTTTCCATCACTAAAACATTTTTATTTACATACTCTTCTACCAATACATTTGCTACTGACTGTATCGATAAGAACGAAAAAAAGATGGCAGCAATAATAAAAATACACTACTCTTTTACTTTTTGTTTGTTTGTTCGTTGCCAGTGAATTAATTTTGTTGATCACTGATGGTCGTCATAATTGCATACTTTCAGACGAAGCCAAACAAAACCATGTGCACAACGAATCTTAATGCTTCTATTAAGTTCCATCTTTTTTCTTCGCGAAACGTTTTATGTTTTGTAAGCAGCATACATACACTTTACTTTCAGACAACAAAAAAGTGCTTACATCTTTAAAAGATTTTTGAAGACGTGCCAAGCTATATGTAATTCAAGGACAAAAAGGATGGATGTTGTATTTTTATCATGAGGATCTTTGCTGAGTACATATCGAACATTTCTGGTCAAAGAATCATGAGATCATCCTCAGATCTCTGTTGAAAGCTCTCCTCTAGATGTAGTTGAAATTTATTCTTCATTTTTAAAAGAATAATACATGATAAAATTTTCTTTATTGAAATTTGTGTTGTCATTAACTCTGTTCAAATGATTATAAACTGTTCTTTTATATTTTGCTTCATATTTTATGTCAATCATTACTACATCGTCGCAAAAAAACAAAATTAAGATTTTTTTTTTGATCATCTAGTTTTACAAGAAAAGATTTCATTGGACAGTATGTTTTGATTTATTTAAAAGGTACTGATATATTTATACATTTGTATACAGATCAAAAAGTATTATAATGACTATTATTCATACTTATTTGAAATTTGTAATTAATGGAAGATGGAAAATGATGCGTGATCAAGTCTTTTTTCCATTCATATGGTGACGAACGTACC